CTGTCCTCGTTCCAACTAATCCCGAGAATCTTAACGCAATTGCTTTTCGATACTGAAGAATCTTGCGATGATGAACATGGCAAAGAGGCGTCGACTTTACGTACTTCTGCGTTAACATCGACGTTGTGATAAGTGGATTCTGAATTCGCGTTCGTTACTTCGTCTTTCACACTTCCATTTGCGTCTTCTTGGGTTGCAATGAAATCTCGTATGGAGGCAGAATTCGAATGCCATTTTCGAAGTTTGAACCCACCTTTGCCCATTAGATCGTGAGATGTGCGATAGATATGTAAGGCTTCATCATCATCATAAGCTCCACCGGCGAAATCATCAACGTACAGAGACTCGAGCAACAATGAGACTATCTCTGGTTCAATTTCCTTGTATCTTGAAAGATGATGAGATATGGTGATGGGTAAGATAGCAGGACTGGGGGTTAGACCAAATGGCAGACGTCGAAACTCATATTAGCGAGCTTAAGCATGTAGGACAGCAACATCACGACGACGGCCAAAACAAATTCCTTCAAATAAATGATAGTAAAGAAAACTTGTCGTATATTATAATTCGTATGAATTTAACACAGTATAAGAAGCTGAAAACATTGGCTTTATGTTTGGGAAGAGTTCTACTGACCGAATTTTTAAGTTGCACTTGTTACGGCTTGAAATGCAGGCGTTGTATTAAAGACGTGAAAATATGTGATTTGCCGTTGTAAACAGAACGACGATCACGTCTGAAAGTCCCCTGGGACTTTAATTATTTATTTCTTTTCATTGACTCATTGTATTGGTTGCCGTCGTCGTCGTGTTGCCGTCCTACATGCTTAAGCTCCCTATCCTTTGAGGGCCGGGGGATCTTGATTAATATCTTCAAACCAGAGAAACTTCAACATCTTCCTATCATCAGGAGCAATTTGTATCTGATGGAAGGCTTTCTCGATATCAGCAACAAGTCCGTTAGGATAACCGCTGAAATTTACAACAGTATCAAATAGATGTGGAACTAAATTTGTACCCTTTTGGACACAATCATTTAACGACAGATCATCTTTTGCAGGTTTCGCGGAACCGTCAAATACGACTCTAAGTTTTGTTGTTTCTTTATCTTGGCGAATCACTCCATGGTGAGGTAAACAATGGCTAGTTTCTCCAGGTTCAACTACGGAGTCTATGATACCACTTTTCTCTTGATCCTTAAATATGTTGTCATATTGTTCGAGTAATTGTTTGTCTTTATCGAGACGAGACTTGAGTTGATGGAGTCGTTTCAAACACATACCGTATCCGTTCGATTTCGGAATACTCTCATTCTTCCATGGTAAACTAACTTCGTATCTTGCTTCATTCTCGAGACATCGAATATCCTTCAAAAACTCTTCTTTAGTTACTTTCTCCTCGTTAATTCCCATCGACTCGATCTCCCAGAATTGGCTTAAACACTTCGAAAGTTCAGATTCATCCTCTCTCAACGCAAATGAGGATGGTGTTAATAATGAACATTGCTCCTCGATGAGCAAATGAACTCCCGAGACTTTCGAACACGATTCTGTATCACTTGTCGGACCAGCAACAACCCAGCCAAAGTCGCTATTAATGGCAACAGGACCACTTTCGTCTCGTACCATCTCGCCAGTGAGAATATCAAAATAATAATCTGCGCCAATAAGAATGTCGATACTGCTATCATTTTGTCGTCCTTCGAGAATGTTGAGATCAGAGAGCTGTAACTCTTGCAAATGTGGATATAGGCTTAGATCAATCGTGGTTGTCAATGGTGAGCAAATATTTGGAAAACAAAGTGCCGTTATCTTTCGATTGTCACTATTTCCCTTCAACGATAACTGGACTATATCGCAACGTCGTTTCTTAAAATGATCATCACCAAAGGTATTTAAATTAAGAGTTTCTGTTCGTATTGGAACCAGACCGAGTCGCTACTTTAATGAATTGGTAATGTAGGAACGTTGGCTACCGCTATCCAAAAGTAATCGAACCGGTATTGGATTGGAGCCATTCTCCCCTTGCGCATACGTAACTGCTGTTTGCAGAAGAACTTTATTCCGTGTTTTTGTGGTCGTTGTTGTCGTTGAATCTTCTGTTGTCATATAGCCAGTTGTAGTCGGATTATCAGTTGAAGTCAAATTGTCAATGACAGTTGCAGTGCTAGTATTATTTGATTCTCCAGGTAACTTGTCGTCTTTACTGGGTGGGATGGGTTTATTTCCATTCATGAAAGGTAATGTATAGTGTTAGCCCTTGGATGCATCACAAATTGATTGGTGATGCCTGCCGTGACATCGTCTACAATTCTTTTTCGACTCGCATCTTGTACTGCGATGACCAATCCCCAAGCATGTAAAATACCGATTGTCTCTCCTCAATATATCCTTGCGAGCGTCATAATTTGCACTGGTCAATGTGAGACCTTTTATTGCACGCGCTGCCTGCCCCTCGAGTAATGATTGTAAATAATTAAACTTATTAACTTTCGAAATAGTTGGGTTACTATGAATAGCTAAATCGTATAAGTCCCAAAAGGAATTCCACTCAGTTACTTTACCTCCATATTTAGGGAGTTCCAACTTCGGAAGCTTGGGCAAACTTGGTACAAAATGTCCCATTGGTGTTGTTGACATTGTCGTAGTTGTTGATTGCTGTAATAAAGGCGAACTGTTCCCCAAATTTAAACTCGTATTTTCCTCGTTTTCTTCGATCGTAGCCGGTAAATTATCAGTTGTACTTTCGGTTGTATTTTCGATACTTTCCTGTTCCATACTCGTGCTGGGAGTCAGGTTCGAATTCGTAACTATAACATTCGTATTATTATTAATATGACCCTGAACTTTTGCAGACTTGGCAGATTTCGTGTGTTTGTCGATTCTTCGCTTCGTATTCGAAATTCTATCAGAAATTTCGGCTGATTCTTCGATTTCGTTTTGTATATCACTCACGTCGCAAATGTCCAATATTTCTTCGTCGATTTCGCTTAATAATTTCAGTTTTTCTTGGAGTTGTACAGCAATAACTTCGCTTCGTTCGATGTGATCTCCTTCGCCTTCGGGTATTTGTAATAATTCAGTCGCTTCCTTTTCGAGTTTTGTACACACACCGCGATGACCTCGTCGTCTGGCACGTAGCCTATTCAATTTTTCCTTCACTTCGTCGGCCATTTCGTAATTTCGGGTTCGATTGGGCGACTTTATTTCGAAAAAGTCTGCCCCACGTTGGGCGCCATGTTATGCACGTCGCATAATATTTATCGCATTTCCTCGCTCAATACTTAACGTTCGTTCAATTAACACACGGATAACATTAAAATTATATAACTTTACTATCAAAGAATAAGGTAAAAGACTCAAACATAACTAACGTTGAGTTCGTAACGAAATATCTTCGAATAATCGAATACAATATAGATAATACACGTTCGATCGAAAGAATATGAAACTTGTTGTTTTTATACTAAAATTCCCGTATGTAAAAGCGAATCGCACGTGTTTAGCCTGCGAACAGGTTCAACAGCCTGCAATCAGGCTCAAAGTAAACACAACAAATGTTATTGAAACTCTGTTCATGTCTCACAGTTTATCACACAGACCTTAAAAACAATCGATTTCAAAAGAAATTAATAATGCAGAACACGAATATATGATTATGGTCCCCCCCCCCCTCGCTCCCCCCACTTAGCGATATTGTTATAATTTGAATGCCTGAGTACTATACTGAAACCACGGTCGCGTAAATACAATTGAATCGAATTTTATGTATGGGAAGTTAATTAAAAGTTTTTAGTTTCGTTCAACATATGATTAACAACATATGATTGTTTAATTAACACAACGCTTGAGCCAAGAAAATTACGTGCATCAAACAAAACCGTTTTTTATATTAAATTTACTGTACATGTATCAATATAATTATCAAGCTATTTTAAATTCCAAGAATCCTTTTTCTTACACACCCTATAATAGTATTCATTGGGGGTAAATAATTAACAATTATTCGCCGAAGGCAAATTGATTACCGGTGAGTATTCACCGAGACGAAGTCGAGGTGAATATTCACCGTAATCACTGAGCCTGAGGCGAATAATGGTTTTAGTATAAATTTTTAATGAATAAAACAAAATATCCCAATATCAGTTCAATTAAATTTCAGAAATAAAACTGTTTTCGGCCTGTTCTTTTGAAATGATTTAATTTAAAAGAATATAAAAACTATTTGTTAACAAAGCAATATCAACGAGAGTTCACTGTTCGATGTTTTTCATAAAAAAAACACGACAACCAACATGGTCTCCAATTAAACACGTGACCACTTAACTAATAAAAACAAACCGGAAGTCCGTAATGTTTATCTTATATAAAGTTTACGAGTGTATACTTTCAACACTCCTGCTCACTCGTATAACTGTATGTTCATTTATAACTAACTCCGAGCATCTTTCTAAGTTTGGTAAACTGAACCACACTTAGTCCCTTAGTAAAAATGTCAGCGATCATTTCTTCAGTGCTACAGTATTCCAGTTTAACTGCAGCACTAGCAACATGTTCTCGAATAAAATGATACTTTATATCAATGTGTTTTGCACGTCCATGGTACTGTGCATTCTTTGCCATACAGATTGCTGCTTGATTATCTTCAAGTATCAACATTGGACCGGTTGGTTTGCTCTTTAGATCACTTAGAAGTTGTTGTAGCCAAACTGCTTCTTGGGTTGCACTTGCCAATGCCATGTATTCTGCTTCAGCAGTCGAGAGAGCCACACATGACTGTTTTTTGCTTCGCCAACTGATAGCTGCGTTGCTTATCTGGAAGACATATCCCGAAGTTGACTTTCTGTCATCAAGATCTCCAGCCCAGTCAGCGTCTGAATACCCAACACATGAAGTCGTTGTCTTGCTTCCATCATAAAGTAAACCCATATCTCGAGTTCCATTCAGATAACGCATGATACGTTTAACAGCAATCCAATGCTCCTCCGTTGGATGAGCACTGAACCTTGCTACATCGCTTACGGCATATGCGATGTCTGGTCTTGTTTTCGTGGACAGATAAAGTAGATGTCCAACGGCACACTGGTAGTTAACCTGGTCCACTCGTTCACTGTCGTCTGCTGCCTTCTTCAGTTTTGTCCCAGGGTTAACAGGTGTGCTTGCTGGTTTCGAACTTTCCATGCCAAATCTTTCCAACACACTCTTCGTGTACGCTTCTTGGCCAATCCAAATTTCTTTTGAATCTGGTTTCTGGATAACTTTCACACCCAGGAAGTAGTGTAGTTGACCCATATCTTTCATTTGAAATTGCTCAGCGAGTGCTTGCTTCACTTCATTGATTTTCGGATCATTCTTTCCGGCCAAGAGAATATCATCAACATACACAGCAATAATGAATATCTCTCCATCTTCTTCCTTTACATAGATACATGGATCACCGGTGGTTTGTACAAAGCCCATATTCTTCAATTTTCTGTCGAGAACAGAGTTCCAACAACGTGGAGACTGTTTAAGGCCATATATACTTCGACGTAACCTGCAGACCAGGTGTTCTTTTCCCTTCTCAATGAAACCTTCCGGTTGTTTCATGTAGACTTCTTCTTTGAGATCTCCATTCAGAAATGCTGTTGTGACGTCCATTTGATGAAGCTTTAAACCATGCTGTGCAGCTAACGCTACTGTTCGAACTGATTCAAACCTAGCTACAGGTGAAAATGTTTCATCATAATCGTCACCAAATGTTTGACTGAAACCTTGAGCTACGAGCCGGGCCTTGTGTGTTTCAACTGTTCCGTCCGCATCTGTTTTAACTCGAAATACCCACTTGCTGCCAACGGCTTTACGATTCTCGGGCAGTTCAACTAGGTTCCATACTTCGTTAGTTTTAAGGGATTCCATTTCTTTTTCCATTGCTTTCACCCATTTTGCCTTTTGTGGACTTGACAAAGCCTCTTTCACGGTCCTTGGCTCGTTTTTATCATGATTTGCAGCTGTTGCCCACTCTCCATAGTAGGCAGGTGGTCTTCGATCTCTTTCTGACCTCCTCGTAACTTGAGGCTCAGGCTCTTCGTTTACAACAGGCTCTTCGACATCAATGGGCTCTTCAAACTCAAGTTCCACAAGTGTGTTTTGCTTTGGCTCTTGTACTTTCACAACTTCAGGTTCTTGTGAAGATTCATTAAACTGGACATCACGACTGCGAAAGACTCTTGCACGATTTGGATCATAAAGACGATAGCCCTTCGTTTCAGTGCCATAACCAAGAAGAATACATTTTCTGGCTTTCGAGTCAAGTTTCTTTCTTTCGTCCTTTGGCACATGAGCATACGCTTCGCATCCAAACACTCGTAGATGCTTCACATTAGGTTTCTGACTTGTCCAGGCTTCAAAAGGAGTCTTTCCTTTGACTGCAACTGAGGGACTTCTGTTTCTAAGATAAACAGCAGTTGAGAGTGTTTCAGCCCAGAACTTGTGCGGGAGTTTAGCATCTGCTAACATGGATCTCACCGATTCCACCAGGGTGCGGTTCATCCTTTCAGCGACTCCATTTTGTTCCGGTGTCTTGGGCACAGTTAATTGGTGTGTTACCCCTTCTTTCTTCAGATAATTCTCAAACTCTGTCGAGGTGTACTCCCC